ACCGCCACGTCTGCTTCGAGCCTAAGAGCTCGGCGGCGCCAGCAACGATGACGCCGAGCTAAGGGTTCAAATTTTAAAATCTTTTTTCTAGGGGCATATTTATGATTTTTTTTAAAAAAAGGGGTAAAAAATAAAAAATTCGGTTCCCAACTTCTCCATGATTTAAAAATAATATAGCAAGAGGGTGTTTGGTTGCACTAAACTTTAGTCCATCACCATGTTCGCTTGAACTACTTTTTAGCCAACGAACAGTATTTTTCTCTCACAACAAATCAGTATAAGCATCAGTATAAGCCAAATTTCAGCATAAGCGAACAGGGTGCATGTTTTGAATGTCAAATATAAGATCTAAATATAAGCTAATTATGGCCTAACAAAAACTAATGGAGGCTAATTGATAAGAAGAACACATTAGAAAAAAATAATTAGTCCACATTTAAACTATTATCCAACTATGAACTAAACTTTAGTCCGATGATCAAACAGGCCCGCAAAACATTAATACAATCACCTGCGGCAAGTTAAAAACTTAAACTCGAGTAGTCAAGTTTCCCTCGCTTAATGGTTGCTTAGCTTATGACCCGTTCAACTTTCGAGAGAGTTTTTTTTTTAATTTCCTTTCAAGAGAAAGTTAGACAAACTTTGTCAACGTAGTAGAATTTGGCTTATCTTATCTTGTGTTATGCATCTCGGTTTAACCTACTCACCAGATATATCAATATATGTGCGTGTGTATAAGAGATTTGCGAAAAATAAAAGAGCCATCACAAAAACTATATGTACTAAGAAAGTTTACAAGAAAGAAACTTAGATGAACGCACTAAACTTTGCACAACAATTACAACACACAGTAAGATAAGCAACAATTGAGGTCATGTTTAGTTCCAAGCTCACCTCGCCTCACTAACGCCAGCAACGAGGAGTTTGCTCGGCCGGGCGAGCCGATTTGGCTCGCTTGAGCAAGCAAGAGCATCAGCGTCAAAAAGCTCTCCCGCACGAGTCCCAAAAAACTTGCTTGATATCCAAATGCACAGTTCAATCACGATCCTGGCTACATAAGGTAGCACAATGCTAGGCATAGAAACCAAGCATGCCCCAAAAACCTCATCATGGAAGTAAAGAGGGGATAACTGGCAACTGAATTTTCTGATGATATCGGATAGTTGCCATTATCCTTTGATCCATGATGTAGCACCCACTAAAAGGTTGAACTTCATTGAGTCACAAAGGCTCAAGGTCCACTAGGAATACTCTTCACTCCAGATTAACGGGTTTCAAACAAAAAAAAATGATATGGCCAAAGAAAAATGAAAACCCTAATGCTAAGTTTAAGTGCTTTAATACCAAGTTGCACTTAGACACTACTGTGTCCTTAACCTTCAAGAATATCCTTCCCATAAAAATTAAAGAATCCAATCATCTGGGTTAAGAAAACCAAGTGTCTTAATGTGACTAACCATTTGTTCTAATCATTGCAAAACAAATTTAGGCACATGTCCTTATGTTCATCAATTACCAATATATAGACTAGAAACCTGAATGCATTCATTTTTCTAGATAACAAAGCCTTATTCCTCTTTTCCTCTTCACTTATCAATATAAGTTTATTTCTCACATCAGTTAATTTAATGAAAATAAGGTTTTTTTCTCTTTGATGAAAAAGCAAAAGATGCATCTTAATTAGGAAAAATAGAATTAGTTCATGATCAAGATAATATACAAAAAAAATTGTTGTTCTAAAAAAGAGCAAAACTAAAATAAGGCATGTTTCATCGTTGTATGGTAACATTACAACGAAAATTGGAGACATGAAATTGCTTGTTGTGATGTTATCTTTGTTGCTTGACCTCCTCGTACAGTCTTACACGACATTGATCCTTACATTCTTTTTTACTTTATTGCCTCACACTCCTATCTATAAATGTAAGTATATGTCTACGATCTCTGTAGAGCATATCTATATATATGTACATAATTTGTGTTGTTTTAACAGTTAAGGACGTTCAATACCTGGTTTTCGTAGTTTAATGTTAAAGATCAATCTGACGTTCAACTCGAATGTTGAAACAGACATTACCAATACATATATTAGGTCCTGTTTGGATCTTCCAGTTTCTGCTATTTTTTATGCTAGTTTTTGCCAGTTTCTTAAAAACTAGAAAACTGTTGATAGCTAGCTCAGATTCTTAAAAACTGGGGGAACCAAACACTCTCACTAGCTTTTGCTCAAAATCTAGATTTTATAAACGAGAGGCAAAAACTAGTTTTTAAGAATCCGAAACTAATCGGGCCTTATTCTCTCATCGAATGTAGAAGAGAGGAACACGAGAACACGAGAGCAAGGGAAACTAAACAGAGAAATCAAACCCATCTTGCTTTGCTGGTTGAGGTGAGTCGAGGCTAGGTAGGCAAGGCAAGGCGAGCAAAGGTTCCCAGCAGCCCCTATGTTTTCTGCCTTCCAAGCATGTCTCAAGTTAGCTCGACCGCACTCGCATGGAGCGCGTGGACCGATCTGCAACAACAAACATTCTCGGGGACTAGAGCACGAGTAGAGTGGGCAACAACCAAGAAGATCCTTTTGCGCGACCCAATCTGACCCGATTTCTGTGGGTCGACCACCACCAAAACCCCTCAAAAGCAGCAGCAATAAGAAATGGAGCACGACCGCGTGGTGTGGCTGCTTCTGTGAACCACCAGCTGCCCGAGCGAGCCGGCACCAGCATGCGGAACACTCGAAGCGTCTGAATGACTGCATTTTCTTTCTAACCCACCGTGCTTATCGGCCCAGATTTTTTCACAGCACGACCGACCACTTGTCCACATCCCCTGCCCGCCTGCTGTGTCAAGCATTTCCCACTGCTCACTGATCAGCGCCAGCGCCACCGTCCGTTCGTTCTTGTCCGGCACCAGCAAGCAGCGACGCCGACGCAGTCCTTCCTGCAATCCTGCTCGTCGGAAAGGAAGCAATGATAGCACAAAAGGCTTATGCGATTTTTGCAGTGCCTGTGAATTGTGATGGTAACAGGCAGGGGCCCCAAGTGGGCCGGCGGCGGCAGCGGCAAGCAAGCGGGCGGGGGTGGCAAGTGAGGAAGCCCTGCCTTCCCGGCGAAGTGATTAATGAGAATATATTCTATAATTGATTAATGATACTTATTCGGTATCATAAATGTTAGTATTTTATATATAAAGTTAGTCAAACTTCATATTCTTTGACTCTTAGAGAGTAATAATTTTTTTGGGGAGAAAGGAGTATATAATACTCACTTTGTTCTAAATTATAAGTTATTCTATTTTTTTTTTGAGAATCAAAGTATCTCAAGTTTGATCAAAATTATAGTGACAGCTACAAACATTTTTTGGAATAATATAAAATATAATTAATGAAGAATCTAATAATACTTATATGGTATCATAAACGTTACTATTTTATTATGTAAATTTGATCAAACTTGAGCTGTCAAGAAAGAAAGTTGACTTATAATTTGGTACGAAGGGAGTACGCGTCATTGTTGACGAGATATGGAAATTTAAGAGGAGAGAACAAATATATACCATACAGAGCTATGTATTCAACATCTTAGAGTTTATTTGTATGTTATCATAATGAGGTTTATGATGAACTTGGACATAGCACCGATCCCCGTAATTGGCCCTCTAGCTCTTCCTCTTGCCCTCTTGCTTGAGCTCTACTCTCTCTATTGCCTCCGCCATCGACACACTCTTCTTGGTGCCCTCGCTAGAGCCCCATCCTCTCGTCACCTCCGCCACCGCCACACCCTTCCCATAAGCACGCCCTCCCCCGCACCCTCCCTCCGTGTGTCCTCTCGGTAGCCTTCCTCATGAGCGATAGAGCACGCCGATGAAAAATGTTTTATACGGTTGCATGAAATGTGTGGCTGTCTCCATGATCACCAAGGTCTCGAAATCCCAATGATCTGTAAGGGCGTGTTTGGGAGGGCTCCTTTCCAAGGGCTTTTATGGAGACTTCTCCAGAACGGCTCCGACTCCTTTTTTTTTTTAAATGGAAAACGATCTCAAACAATTCTTCCAATTAAACCATTTAGAAAAACTCCTCTATAGGAGCTGGAGAGGAGCCAACCAAGACCTAAGCTGTACCCAAGTATTCCTAAACTTTGGGAAGATCCACCTGCAAATGCACGGAAAATCTACAGTGTCGTACTCCCTCTGTCTCTGAAAGAATGAATTCCTAGCAACTTTAGGACAAATTAGCAACGAAGATAAAAGACCATACTGCCCCTCATTAAACTGCTGAACCTAATATAACTCTCTAGTTACCGAGAAACCTAATTAAGTAGTGTCCTTTGGAGTATCAATAGCAGCGCAGAAGAGAGGTTATGTTGAATAAGAGCCACACTACGAGAGAGATTAACATGGATCCGTGGATCGTTCCCCTTCAGAAATTGATTCTTTTAGAAATAAATTTTTGTACTTAGACAGCACGTTCGGCTGGTATAGTCCTGGCTTATTTCAGCTTATTCTCTCTCACAGAATACTATTCAATCATCCAAAACGATAAAAAAACACTGTTCAAGCTACCATCCGAACGAGCTGAGAAATTCTTTCTTTCGAACACAGAGAAAGTAGTCAACCGGCACAAGCACAGCATCATCACCCAACGCGGCCGTCAGTGGTCCACGCCTCCACGGCAGCGGGCGTCGCTCCGGCGGAGACGTGCGGCCCGTGCCCCGCGTGCGCCGGGAGCGTCAGCCACTCAGCACTCCGTCATCATCAGAGTTTCGACGGGGCACTTGTGTCCACACGCGAGGTAGCGAGCGAAAACGAACCGCCCCGAAACATCCACCCACACATCACGCACGCAACGCAACCGCAGCGGCCCATTTCCAATTTCCCATCCCCGGCTCTCTTCAGCAGCTCAGCTCAGCCTCCAACCAACTCGAGCCCTCGACGACTCGCTCGCCCGAGAGAAGCCAGAGAACACACAGGCAAAACCCTAGCCCACTCCGGCGCGCCACCGGCTGATGGTTTCGATGAGCACCACGCCGAAGCCGCTCGACTCCGCCGCCGTCAGCGCCGCCGTCACCGGCGGAGGCGGGGACGAGAGTGGTGGAGGAGGAGGAGGAGGCGGCGGCGGCGGCGGGAAGAAGCAGGTGCGCGGGGCGGCTGCGGCGGCGGTGATGGCGCCGCCGCCGATGGCGGTCCCCGTCCCGGTCCCGGCCGCGGCGCCCGCGGCGGGGGAGGAGGTCCGGAAGGTCAGGAAGCCGTACACCATCACCAAGTTGCGGGAGAGCTGGACGGAGCCGGAGCACGATAAGTTCCTCGAGGCCCTGCAGCTGTGAGTGCCCCCGATCCCCTCTGCGCTCCCCCTGTCGTCGATTGGGGAATAGGTGGTGGCGTGTCGATGAGAGTGGTAGCGGTCACTTGCTCCGTTGCGTAGTTGGATTTGTCGCCTGCCTCGGGCTCCTGCAAATGCTTAAATTCTGCTGCACGGCTCCTGCAAATGCTAAATTGGGCTAGTTTACGTGCTGCTTCTAAATGGAGGCGATCTGTTCTTTGTTAGTTTTGTCTGTTGGTTCTAATTTGATGGAGAATGTTTCTGTTAACCTGTTAGATATCAGTGGTCATTGTTGGGGGCACCTATGTTCATCTTCTGGTGACTCTTAGCTTTTGATAGGTTTGTCGTGGCATATGTTGGTGCACTTATTTCTTGTGAGTGGCAATGTTGTGTTTAGTTCAATGCACGGTGATTATTTTCTCCAATCTGGCAGAGAGGATGTCCTTTTAGACTGCACTTAGATATTTAATGGGACATTTGGATGTTGCACGGTCCCATTTCATTGGAACCTTTTAAAGGGTGCCAGTGCACGTTTAAGGATCTCCTCCCCTTGCAAAGTTTTTCTTTGTCCTCTAGCCAGTCTGGGCAAGGTTAGATAAATGAACCAAACATATCAAATGTATTTTAGTATCTATAGCCTTTTCCTTTAATTGTTTATAGCTTGTAAATTGGAAGTGATGCTACTGTGAGAACTTGAATGATTTAATGACATTTCTCAGATTCATTTTTTTTGTTTCTTTGTTGTAGTTTTGATCGTGATTGGAAGAAAATCGAAGCATATGTTGGTTCGAAGACTGTTATACAGGTATCCATTGCCGCCCTAAGTCCTTAACGATAGCTCTCAAAGTGCCTGTGATCTTTAGCTACAGACATTCGGTAATATTACTTTGTAATCAATCTATGCTTTATAATGGCCTCAATCTATAAAAAATGTTCCTTTGACAGATAAGGAGCCATGCACAGAAGTACTTCTTGAAGGTTCAGAAGAATGGTATAGGCGAGCATCTGCCCCCACCCAGGCCAAAACGAAAAGCAGCTCATCCATATCCACAGAAGGCATCTAAACATGGTTTGTATTATTCAAGGACCTATAGCTATTTGACATGAATTTTTTCTAGTTAATGAGTGATGACTGGATTTATTTAGATCCTGCAGTTTCTCAAGCTATTTTATCACAACAACAACCTACCCAGAGGGAGCAAGGTTCTGTCATGCCTATGGATACTGGTACTGTGAGAAACACAAATGCAAATGTGGCAGTGCCTTCCTGGGACAATACTCTTGCTCAACCTTTTAGTGCTGGTCATGTTCAAGGTCTGTGTAATCATTGTGACCTGCATACAAAAATAGATACTTGTGGAGACAATTATAACTTTTCACATATTGGTGGTGCAGGTGCTGTTGCAACAAATAACTGTTCAAGTAGCATAGAGAGTCCATCTGGTACTTGGCCATCTTCTGAAGCAGTTGAGCAAGAAAATGTGGTTCCACCACTCCGTGGTGAGCACTTCCTTCTGCAGCATGCACTGTGCTACCTTGCAATTGTTCTGTGCATGGCCTAAGTGTTTGGTCTTGGAAAAATAGAAACATTTGTCAACCGCAGTTTCCATTCTCATGTCAGATTAAATTACATTATGTTGTACTTAGGTACTTAGGAGCTTAGAAGTACAAACATTTTGCCAACTGTGTTTTCCTTCATCGTGTCAGATTAAATTAGCTACTGTCCTAAAGAGTGAATAATACTCCTTGGTCAGTTGAAATTAAGTTCGTCAAATTATTAGGCTTTGGTATCTTTGCATACAAACCATTTCTGTATTAAGGTCGTGCTATGCTACTAGATTTTGGTTTGTATTCTGACTCTTAGGCCATTATTATCGGATTTGGAGAAGAACCCATTTTTTTTGTGTGTAAGGAGTACCTGGGGGATCTGAGTTGCTATTTACCCGTTTGTATATATACTAAAGCTATTAAGAACATAGCCGTTTCAAGCATAATCATGTCCAATTGCATCATCTCAAATATATTGGAGCGACCCAAGAAACATTTACAATTTAATAATCTCAAGCCCCTTGAGGGCTGGAGGTGCTTGGGCTTGTCCTTTTAGCCATGCCAGCCAAACATAAAAAAAAATATTATTCTTACTCTCTGATATCTTCCACTGGGAACCTCTCCTTGATTCCAACATAAACCTATATGCTAGTTACACATCATCGGTTCATCATATCTGTAAAGTAGATCTCTTAGTGTGAATGCATTTTTTCCTTCACTGCAAATGCATCTTACTTTTGCTTCTTCATGGTCACACATGCAGCCATGCCAGATTTTGCCCGAGTATACAGCTTCCTAGGAAGCATATTTGATCCTGATACAAGTGGGCATTTGCAGAGGTTAAAAGCGATGGATCCAATTGATATTGAAACGGTACATCTTCTATATACATGCTCTACTTTTTAGTTCTTTTCATGCATTTCACAAGCATCTTGCCTTTCTTTATTTGTTATGTGTCCCATTTGAAAACTTTACAATTTCTGTGCATAACTATTGTTTCTATTTTCTAGCTTCTGCTGCTATCTTGGCTAGTCCTGGCTCTTATTAGATATAGCTGGGGCCTCATACACTCGGAACATTCTTGGGTTTTAAATATAGTTTCTAAATATTCTGAATCTATCAGTGTTCACTAAAAATCATTAACTCCATAAATAATGTCAGAAAGGTATTCATTAAGTTTCACCAAAATTCTGCTTTGGTCTTACTATCCTTGAAATTAGAACTGCCAGGTCCTTTTAGCTCCAAAGGTCAGAAAAATATAGTTCTCAATGTCTTCATCCTGTTTGTTTTTATGCACAAGAACATTCAAGTATTTCTCCCCGTGGTAAAATACACTTGGCTTTTGGGTTTGGGCACAACATGGTCTCCAATATGTATGGATCATGGATGTACCTATGATCATGTTTTTATTACTAGAATAGCTTATAAAATCAAATAAAAACATGAGATTATGGAAGTGCTTTTCAGGCAAGATTATTTTTCATGTTTCCAACAAAATAAATTATTTGTAGCCAGTGCCAAAAAGTCTGACCACATTGTGACAAAAAAATTCAGTATTTGTGATCAAAGGAAGTATGTTATTTAACTCTGAATTCCTTGAAGTGCCATCTTCTGTTCTTTCCCATTCAAGATTGAGAATTTTTGGTGTCTTGATTGTCCTTAGGACTGTTAATATTTGGCTAATTTAATATGAGTTGTCATTTGGCATTGATCATTGGTCTGTTGATTGGCATACACAGGTACTACTACTTATGAGAAATCTTTCAACGAACCTTAGGAGTCCTGACTTTGAGCAACATGTAAGTTATTTGGTTTCTTCATTCCTCTGATCTGCTCTGATCTCTCTGGAAACTTTTGCAGCTTTTACTCATGTATAAGCATGCTATGAATGGCATTCCCGTGTTGTGTTATTACTACCATTAGGTTCGCCATGATTTTGCCCAGTACAGCTATGCTGACTAATTCAATGTTTAAAAGTGGGTCACAAAGCCCGCTCAGGCAGACTTGCTTGGTGACACTGTATGTCTGCCCAGTGCCTAGTGCTTTGTAAAACTTCAATGACAATAATGATCTCTTTCAAATTGTGTTCCAGTTATTGTGATTGGTATTTTAATACCCTGTAACTCCTTGAGATTCCATCATGTGCTTCATAACAATTATTGACATTACCTGCCCTTCTTAATTAGTGCAGTTAAGGATCGATTTTAACATTTTTGTAAAAAATTTGTTAACCTGTAAAATTTCCAATCACAAGTACTTCTCTGTATAAGAAATAACCTCAAAATGCATGATTATATTGATAATGGCTTTTTTATATTTTATACATGACACTTTGCAATAGTACTTGAATTGTTCTTCACTTTACTGTTCTTTTCCAAAATGCTGACTGATTTACTCTCTGATTGCAGCGGAGGTTGCTAGCATCATATAGCTATGGTGGTGGGGACCATGTTAAATCTGAAGGCATGGAAAATCATGAATCTCCTCAGAGTGGCCATCTTCCATTCCTGTAAACCTTCTGCCACTCCCCCTGTTACATGTGTAGTTATGACCTGATGCACTGCCATCTTGACTAGCCCAATTTGCAATTGCCAGGGTAACAAGTGAATGAGAGCACACCGCCAATCTGCGAAGCTTGGTTGGTTCCACTAGACATTCTTGTGTGCTCTCAGCAATGGAGTTGTGGACGGCTGGTCTGGCAGTTTATGAATGCCAGAGACGTATCGTGGCAGTGACATCTGTATAGCTTCCAGTAATGGTGTAGATAGCCAATTTTGTGTGCTCATGCAATTCTTTTCCTGGGTGGGGCCTAGATCGATATGTTTTTGTTAGTGTAAAATGCACCGGAGGTCATTAACTTGGGCCACGCGGAGCAGGCAAAGTTCATGTGGTTGATGCGCAGCTCACTTAGCCGTGGACCTGGCCGTGTCGGCGGTGCTGCAGGGCGCCGAGAGACTATTGATGGGGAATCTGATGAGGGCTACCTCGAGCGCCGGGACGCGCCACTATGTGCAGCCTCCGTGACTGTTTCGCCAGGCAGCAATTCGAACTGCTTGTGATGGGCGAGCTCGTGGACCTCATCAAGAGCCCCATCGACCGGTACCGTGGTACGTCGGGGCGAGGGACGACTAGCGGCCATATGCGTCGTGCACAGAGGGCTGCAGTATGCATTGAAACGACCTGATTTCCGTGAAGGGAAATCCACAGAGTCGAAGTGTAATAAGACCGTTGTAGATCATATTACTCAAATTCCAGTCGAATATCACATCCATACAACGATAATATCAGAGTACAAATAGTGTGGAATTACATAAATTATTACATCGCCGCATTGGCGGAATCAAAAGTAGCATTTATTCAGAACAGCTTGAAGATAAGATCGCCAAATTTGAGCGTAGGAACGAACCCCTTAACCTCTTCGGAGCTATACTCCTCAGCAGAACCTGTGTGTCAAAATTTATCAGTACGATTTGTACTGGCCATTCCCACCCTATGAGCATTGCTTTGTGGAAATTGGATGTAAGTTGGATATAAATCAAAGGAACCTATAAGGTTGGGGTTTCCTATGTATTTGCATATCAAGTACATAATAATAGTTGGTTAAATTTTAACACTATTCCCACACCCATTCCACCCCGTTTTCGTCCAGAGCCAGGTTTTGATCCTGGGATCGAAACACCACCATCTCCACACCATCACCATACCATCGCTCAGTCGACAGGCCAACTCTCTCGCGGAACTGCCTCATGGCCCGTAGCCCTTGGCTACATCCGAACACTCACTCCCAGGGGGAGAAGAGAAGAACTCACTATCTAGTTTAAGCGAAACCCAGGAAAGGTCCATAGCCGATAAGTCGGCATATGTATCGATCGATCAACCATACACTCTGCAGAGGTTTTACATAACCACAAGATCCGCCTTCCTCACTGACCGTCGTCAACTGGGCTGATTTCGACCGCTTGCTAGCCTAGGATAATGCCACTCTACCATTCAGCCCTGGTACACCCCAAGTCTAGTCTGGGGTGGCTGAAACTGTAAGTCATGAGCCGGGTCCACAAGGTCTCCATGAAGTCTCGGAAGGGTGTGGGGGAAATCCTCCGCGCCCCGTGCCTCCCTCGCACTGTCCGCTATCAACCTAGCAGTAGTGGCAATATCCTACCAAGTAGTCCGCCCGTCCCGCACCATATAGGGCGAGTGGTACGTAAGGCTTCCCGTGAATCTGAGTACTAGTAAGTCTTTAGGGATGACCAAGCCAGAATATCTTCATCATGGTTTTTCATTTACCGTGCCACCACAGCACCTTCACCCTGGGCTCCTCCCATCACAGGTTCACACCCAGGGCCACCTCATATACCATTTACCCACCATAGGTATCCATTTCAGGGGTGCCCAGGTAGCACCCCACGGCAAGACTTGCCCCAGGCTCGTCGTATACTCCAACTTGGTCGACACAACCCTCACCCTCCACGCACCCAAGTCACACACGCAACACTCTTCCCATAGTCCAGATAACACCAGTTTTTCACCACGCATCAATGTAGTACAAGCGTAGTAGAAGTAATAATAAATGAAATATAGCAGCAAGCGTGTGACTAGCCTAACAACAGGGTGAGCAGGGGTAAGGTTGCGTCAAGGTAAAGGCCATCAAGAAAGCATACTACCATGCAAGTCCTATCATAGTGTGATCATAACAATAAAGTAAAGCACTAACATTTCTATTTTAGCCATGCATAATAGGTGCTACGAAATTGGGTGGGATGTGGCACCTTCAGTGTAGTCGTCTCCGTACTCCTCACGGTACTCTCGGTCCTCGTCCGTCTGGTTCTCCTCCGAGTCTGCAAACGATCGCATTATAGTCGCGTTAGCGACGTCTATAGAATAGCACAAAGAAGCAATGAAAATTCAAAAGAGCCAAATGCACTCAAACATGGGTTCATTGCGTAGAGCTCGGTTTTAGATGAATTTTGGTCCTGGTTTCATATTTTTCTGAGGTCGTATGAATTAGTTATGAATTTTCGAAGATTAAATCCATTTTTGAAAATGAGAAAGGGCTGAATTAATATCGTGCTGACACGTGTCACGCTCCTGTTGGCCCACGTGGCATGCTGACGCCAGCATGACGTCAGCATAGCGTCATCATCTCGGTTCCGAGCTGACAGGTGGGGTCCCGCTGGCGTCATCTTGACGTTGGCATGACGTCATCAGTTCCGACAGGTGGGACCAGGGGCTCTTGGGTCACTGACATGTGGGTTCGGTCAAAGTCAATGCCAAGTCAACGTCACCGTGACATTAATCACAGACAGGTGGGGCCAGAGCTGTTGACGTCACCGTGACATCATCATGTCGTCACCTTGGCTGTGTTTGGTACTGACAGGTGGGACCCGTGTGACGTCGTCATGACGTCACCCACTGACAAGTGGGTCCAGAGTCTCTGTGTCGCTGACATGTGGGCCCGATCAAATTGGTCAACGTTGACCAGTCAACGGTCAACATAGGCTGGGTCCAAAACTGGGCCGGTTGGGCCTGGATATAGGCTGGGCTTTGGCCCACCACGTGGCATGCGGTGGCGCTGCCACGTTGTAGCCTAGGCCCCCACTAGGCTTCGGTCCACAGATCGGCCCACACAGCATGGCTCATGGTGGACTTGTGTTCACGGTCCATGGACCGTAGGCTGGGTCTTCGGTGGACCGAGTCTATCTTGCTTTCCTTTGGCATGGTCTACGTGCACCGGGTGCATGTGAGTGTGGCCGGCGAGGGGAATTCCCCTGCTTCTTCCCCCAGCATGCTCCCACCGGTGGTGAGCTCACCGACGAGCTCCCACAGCGGCGCTAGCGTTCACTTGAGGTGGGAACAAGCATCGCCCCACTATGGCGACTGCGACGGTGGGGTCAGGGCGACGGCTAGGGCTTCCTAGGACTCTGGTCATGGTGGTCGGCGGCTCGGTGTGGCGGTGCTCGCCGACGGAGCATCTAGGGGCAGTTCTAGGGGTTCTGGTGCCCCGTTTTCCTTCAGACGGTTAGCGGGGAGGCATGATGTAGCGTCGACGACGACCATAGGGCGCGGTGGAGTCCGCACGCGGTGGTGGTGCACGGTGGAGCTCCGCCCGAGGTCCGGTGCACGGGGCCAAGGCGCTGCGGTCGGCTAACGGCTTCTTGGTCTACGTAGCTATCGTCCAGGCGTCGCGACGGTGCTCTACGACTACTTCCTAGTCCAGCGAGGCGGCCGAATGCGCATGCGGTGGCTGCGCCATGGCGGCGGCGTTACGAGCGCGGCGAGCGCATGCCTTGCGATGGCATCCATGGGCTAGGAGGTCTCAGCAATGGAACTCACCGAGCGGTGCTTGGCGGCGTTCGGTGGTGGTGCGGTGGCGAGGCGCTGCCTAGTGGTGGAAGCCGCGTCGTCGGAGTAGGCGCTCGGGGCGGCGCTCCGAGCTCCGGTGGTCGACGACTCCAAGCTCCCCGCGCGCCTCCCTCCTCCGAATTCCCCCTCTCGGCCCTCTTCTCTCGGAGTGGTGCGGGCAGTTGGGCCACCGAACGGCGGCAATGGGCTGAGGAACCCTAGGGCGCTCTGGGCGTCGTTTTATAGCCCTAAGGTCCAAGCTTCACCAATGGCGGACGGGGCGGACGGCAGGCGATGCGCTGAACGCATCGGACGGTTCACGGGCGCGGGGTAGTTGGCGTAGGGGTTGCGTGGGCGCGGCGCCAAGGGAACATGGCCAGGCGATTTGCGTGACCCTGGGCCCGCGCCTGTCGCTTCGGTCGGGGCTCGGTCGGGAGAAGAAGCTGGCGTGGGGAGGAAGAAGGCACTGTTGTCGAGGGTCGCTGACGCGTGGGTCCGATTAGCGTGGCAGCAGTAAAGCAAAAGGGCGCGTGGCGGCGTGGTGCGTTAAGGGCCGGCTTGATGGGCACAGTCTTTGCAGCAGCGTCTTTGGGAGGATGGCATGCCTAAAAGGAAATTTGGTTAGCGGGTCGAAAGCAGATTTGAGCCATCATGAGGCTCTTCTTTTATTTTTCTGTTTGTTTTCTTCTTCTTTATTTGAATTCAAATTTGATTTGGAATTTGAATTCAAATCTGGCGTACCTCATCCATTGGATTATTTAGATGTGAGGCCCACAACACTCTTATATATCTTAGGGACTTTATTTAGCTATTTTGTGTAACAAAAATAGTTGTAGTTTTGTTATACAAAAATATAAATAGTTTTCACTTTAAGCTTTTATTCTTTGGTTTGATTAATATTTACTTTATGGTTTATTACTTTAAAGGAGTTGTTAAGCATTACATAAAGCAAATGGAAATCCAAATCACAATTTGAGTTAACAATGTATGCAATATTTTGTTTGTTAGGATTTTTAATAAACATAATTAACAATGGCATGCCATGCTCATGAGATTGTCTAGTTGAGTTACAACTAATGCAACACCTAGGGTTGGCTCCTACAATTGTCACTCGTCATCACATAGGATTTTGAAGAAATTTTTTTGTAGTTGTGATTTTTGGTGTGTGGATTTT